AAACTGAAATATCATCATTCATTTATTCATATTGCAAAAAAAACATCCTCTTTTTATTGCAGAAGTGCATACAAAAATTTCTTGTTAATAAAAATATTAATAAAATTAATAAAAATAAAAAAATTGTTTTTTTAACGCAATGTCGAGAAGTTCGTTGTAAAAATGCCGACGGGTTTCCAGGTGAACTTCCGTTTTGGCTCGAATATTGGGCGATTTACTTGCGAGAAAGTTTGTTTGTTGTACTTAAACGTATGTTGTGCCGCTGTCAGCTCAGCTCATACATTTTACGAGCCAAGCTCCGCCGCTCGCAAACGATTTTATGGCGGGGGAGGTGAGTAAAAATCGACAAACAATCTATTCCATCCGTACATGTCGGGCGCGGCCCGTCGTTGTTACACGAGATGATAAGTCCTACACGAATATGTCGTCTTCATCGTCTTTCTACTTCCTCAGCCGGTCTTGTTGTCGGTCTCTCTGTGACGGCGGCAACTTTCTGTGAAAATTTCGGCGTAACTCAAAAGCTAAGTCAAACATGGGCGTGTTTCACGAGGTGTCTCAGTAAATCCGGTAAAGCCGCGAAGGCAAATTCCTGCGAGCGACACACGTCACACTTTGCTTACGCATCGTGTACGTATATAAATATACATATATACATATATATGTATATATTATATACATATGTATCGCAAACTGGATGTGTCTACTTAGGCATTTCGCACGAAAATTGAAAATCACTTTGTCGTGAAAAAGCTATAAATGTCGAATAATAAGCTTCTCGCAGAAGCTTATTCTCTTTGACAAATAATATCTCGAAGAACAATACTCATTTGACAAAATAAATGTAGACAGATATCATACGTTTATTTTTTGGATGTCACAAACTAATATATCATATATGTAATAGATAATTAATTTTTTAACAGCATTTATTTATCTTTCTTTATAATGTTTAAAGTATATAAATTTCAGTTGAATATATAAATTTGTAACATTCTTCTAAAAATTTTCAAAAGTGGGTTTGAAAAAAAATATTATTAGTTCTTTTCTGAAAGCTACAGATCATTATAATATTCAGTGTAACTATCGTCGTTTATAATTTTTTTGATATTATTTGGTTATTGAATTAAATTATATTTAATTTAATTAAATTATAATAGAATTGTATGATAGAATTTATTGAGA